CAGGAGTTTGAGACTAGCCTGGGAAACCTGGTGAAACCCCGTCTCTACAAAAACTACAAAAATTAGGACAGGTGGCATGCGCCTGTAGGCCCAACTATTTGGAAGGCCAGATGGGAGGCCGGGATGGGCGTCTGGGAGGTCAAGGCTACAGTGAGCCAAAATCAAGCCACTGCATTCCAGCCTGAGTGACAGACACACTGTCTCAAAAAATAAAAATTGGTATTTAAAGGGAAAGAATTAGCTTTACCTTATCTTATAGAAGAATAATAGCTAACAAATTTAGAAAGAATGAAGGAATTTTATAAATCAACACTTTGTGAATGCCAATTACTTCTTCAGGGGAGAATTATCAGAAGGTGTAAACACCATTAGGTGAAAGGCTGATGAGCAAGAGACCATCTATAGTTACCTAGGCACTCCACAGATCACTGCTAATTGCAAAAGGAAAAATGTTCCTTTACAAAAAAGATAAAATTTAGCGTCACAACTAGTGATGTTTCCCATGTGTGCTGAGGATGAAGTACTCACACTAAAATGTTTAAACCGAATCTATTCAGACATTTAAAACATTAAACATCCCGTTCAGGAAATCAAGGCAGGGAACAAGTTAAACAATACCATGAGAAAACAGTAAGACAGATGTGGAGTATTCTATAACTAGCCCGCTCTCTTTGAAGAAATCAGTGTTATTAAGAAAAAAACAGTGTAAGGACTCTTCTGGCCTGAGATTAGACATAACAACTGCGATGAATGAGGCTCAATGGAACTGTGGTTTTAAAAAAGAGCAACACTTTCGAGACAACTGGGTAGTCTCAATAGGCATCTGCTTCACAGCAGGCATCATTACTCCCATTTTATAGACAGCATGTGGAAGCTGGGAGCTATGGGACAATTTGTTCAAGCACTCATAGCCTGTTATATGGCAAGGCCAAGATCAGAACACAGCAAAGAACCCACATCCTCTTTGGGGATCACTGTCCACCTGGCACCACTTCTGCCCACTGCCTGAGCTGGCACTCTACACACCTGGGATACAATCAGTGTCCTGTTTCTGCCTTTGTCCCCAAAAGCCCATTGTCCACACAGTAGCCAGAAGGAGAGGGGGCTGTTAAAATCCAAGCCAGCCAATGGCTCCCACGTGAGTGAGAAAAAGGCAAAGTTGGCAGGGCGTGGTGGCTCACGCCTATAATCCCAGCACTTTGGGAGGCCGAGGCAGGCAGATCACGAGGTCAGGAGATCGAGACCATCCTGGCTAACACAGTTTTATATTATAAAAATATAAAAAAAAAATTAGCTGGGTGTGGTGGCAGGTGCCTGTAACCCCAGCTACTCGGGAAGCTGAGGCAGGAGAATGGCATGAACCTGGGAGGCGGAGCTTGCAATGAGCTGAGATCACGCCACTGCACTCCAGCCTGGGCAACAAAGCGAGACTCAGTCTCAAAAAAAAAAAAAAGAAAAAAGAAAAAGGCAACATTTTTATAACAACCAACGAGTCTCCACCATCCCCTCATCTCCTGCCACATACCCTCTCATACAATCCACTTCCTGTTCCTCTAACACACCGGTCTTCTTGCTGTTCCTCTAATGCACAGAGCAGGCTCCAGCCTCAGGGTCTTGCACTAGCTCTTCCCTCTGCCTGGGATACTCTTCTAGACAGCCCCACAGCTCCCCCTCCAACTACCTTTGAGTGAATGTTAAAATGCCACTTTTTCAGAGGCCTTTTCCAATCACCCTCACGAAAAGCAGCCAACTTCCCCTCCCATCCCTCACTCTGCTTTAATCTCTCCACAGTGCTTCTTACTACCTGATGTGCCCCATGGCCATACTGTCAGTCTCCTCATCATAAGCAAAGCCCCACCAGATCAGGTCTTTGTCTATTTAGTTCACCAGCCACGTCCCTAGAACCTGGCTTGCTGCTGTTGCTCAAAAAATATGTGCTATGGGAAGGCAAACGGTCTTGCTGCAGCCCTGCCCCAACAGTTACAGCCTGTGTGCCTCAAGACAGCACGCATCAGGGGAAGCCATCTGAGGCATCTCTGCTGAGCGTGAGCCTCCCTCCAGACAGATCACCAACCAAGAGAGATACCTAGCAAGGGAGTGGATGGAATAAAGCAGAGGAGAAGGGGGAACGAAGCTAAGGAAAGCAAGGGGCTTGAGGGAGCCTGCAGCAAAGTGGCCACACGTGCCCTGCAAGCCTCAGCAGCCCTCCAGTCAACCTCCCGAGGACATAAGGTTGAGGGGCTCTTGGTTTGTCTCAGTTAGAAGCCGGGAGGCTACCCCTGACTTAAACCTGATCCCAAGGACAAAATGTCCAGTTACAGTTACTTTTTAAGAAGAAAAAAGAAAACATTCCTTCAATCCCCTTGAGTTTGCTCTCACAATGGCAGGCACACAGCCTGCTGAAGTAAGTAAAAGAGGTCTAAACCTAGCTGTGTGCCAGAACAAGCTCAACAGTAAAGATGACAAAGCTACTGGAGGCAGCAGGGAGGGGCCGTCAGAATTCACTGGCTCCTAAAGGCACTTACTTGGCAGGTTACCTTTCCACCACCTCCCTCCCACCTCAATGCCTGTCATGTTCCTAGGAGATGCTTAGCTGGCGATAGTGAACTTTGTATTTTCCCTCTGGTACCACAGAGGTTGTGCACGCCTTCCTTTGAGGCCTTGCTCATGCTATGCTCTGCTAGAAGGTCATGGAAGTCACCAGAGGGACCCTTGAGAGTGGCATCAAGGTGACTGACAGCCATTAGTGGCATTTAAAGCATCCACGTGGTAAAGGTCAGTCTGTGCTTTGCATCCCTCTTTACTTACTTCCATCCCTCTTTCTCTGGACCCATGCCCACATCAGCAGTAGTGGACACCTGGCAAGAGCAGACCGGATCAAGAGTGTTCACCTTACTCAAACTCTCCTTCTCAGGAAAAGTAACAATCAGAATTACAGCCAAGAAATCTGAGCCAGATACTCAAAAGAAGACAGAGAAGCTGGGCATGGGGAGGGGTGAGGGGTGAGCATGCAGGGGACTTCCACCACCCACCGGTTGGGAGAAGCAGAAAAACACAGATCTCTTAACAGGAGAATACTGAGGCAGTCAGGCAGGAAACAAAACAACAAGCAAACAATGCCAAAAAACAGAGATGAGAACTAGGGGCATCGTGATTCTTTCTTTCCCCTTCTTGGGGCCCAGTGGGCTTCTGCCTTTGAAAACCCCTAAAACGTTTATGATAATCTCCACCTTCTGATCATGTTCCCCCAGGATGGATTCTGTTCCCAGTGACTTAAAAGCCTTAACTGCTACAGATGAGATCTCACAGTGCCTACCCACTCCTCTCACGCCCCCACAGGTCTCAAACAGGTTATTCCTGGGAGGCTGTGACAAAGACCCATGGGAACAAAGCCGCCAGCCTGCTCGAAAACAGTCTATTCTGTGAGCATAAGGCAGAGCTGGCTTCTCACTAAGGCGTCTTTATAGGGCTTATCAAAACGACACAAAAAAGAAAGCTTTTGTCCTAATGCATGCCAGGGTCCTGCTGCTGTTCTGGGAACATGTGGGTGGGTGCCACCCGCGAGGAAAACACAGACTTCAAGAGGCACTAGAAACCCTGATGGTGTTCTGGGTCTCATGACCATCTGTTCTCATAGGAAAAGGCTCCAGACATGCTGTGTAGGGGTATTTTACCAAGAGGCATGGTGAAGTGCGGCACTGCCTACACACTGGGGTCCAGTCCTGTTGGCAGCACCAGAACATGGGTGAGCATGAGGGGCAGACGTGGGAGTGGGACACATGCTTCCAAGCACCCTAGTGTGGCTATGTACAAGCTAGGGTGGGGAGGGGTGCGGCCAGAAGGCAGCTCCTCACGGCTGGAGTCCCAGTCTTTGCCCCAGTTGGCTGCGGAACTGAATGAACTGCCCACTCACCCTGGCACTGTAAATGGTTATTCTTCTCATCCTTCGGATCAAAAATCACCAAACGGATGCACTTTCATCTACCAGACCTCCCAGGCTCAGGTGCTGACTGTGGCCTACAAGGACAGCTATCTAAAACATCAAAAGCACTTTCCAGATTCTTTCACAGACATGAGACTGCTCCCCACAAAGATGGGTTTCAGTAACTCCTCCTTTGGCAGCATTTTTAAAGTGCTAGTCCTTAACTTCTACCTCCTGCTCCCATTTCTACCCATGGAGAAGGGCCATAGAAATAAAAGGGCATGGGAGGAGGGATGTTGGCTGCCTTTTCCTCTTTCCAGTGAAAGTTATTTCCCTCAGTAGAGGGATCCCTCCATGTTTCCATGATTTGGAAGGGAAAGGTGGAGTTTATTCGTGAGCAACTTGGCCAAAACTGCCCACAGCCTACTACCCAGGAGGAGGAAGAGGAGGAGAGGGAGTGGGAAAACAGGAGGAGGAGGAGGAGGAACAGAGGAAAGGGTGGGAAGGTTGAGAAAGGGGAAGGAGGGGGAGGGAAGGTTATTCGTATCAACAACGGTGGCTACACCAATCACTCCCACCCTTGCAGGACCAACAGCCCACAGACACGGAGTCTCCGCCAACTCAGCTCTCGCCCTCCCTCCGTCCATACAAACCAGAACGACCTTGTAAGGGCAAGGAGTAAAAGACGGTCCCAAGGCACACGACTCTGATGTTTGAATTCTGGCTGGGGAGGGGGAGGTGTCTAAAATTTCCTTTGGCTTATATTATCACTGTTTATTAGCCTCCAGATTCTTTATCTTTAAAATGGAAATGAGAAAAGTCTCTACTTTTAGAAGAGCTGGGGGACTAAATTACACGTGCAGCTTTCGGTCAGCCTGAGCCATCGCTACCACTAAGCCTTGGATTTGTAAGTGGCTTAAAAGTAAAAAGACGGAAAAAGGCCGTGCAGCTCTACTTCCCTGAAGGCCAAGAAGAGCCAAAGCAATGACTTCGGAAGTGGGATGTTTCCCCACCCGCGGCAAAGGGGCGAATTCCGAGTTCCCCGGAGGAAGCAGCAGCTCTGCAGACTCGCAATTACCTCGTCCTTATCTCCAGTGAAGGGAGGGATGGAAGTGGGAGCAGGGGCACAGAAATGGTACAAATCCTTCCTAATGGTCCCAGGCCAGAGCTCTGACCATTCCTGAAAGTGTGACCTTGGGAAAGTGACTTCGTCTCGCCAAGCCTCAGTTTCCTCATCTGTGCAGTGGGCATAAGGGCAGCATCTAAGGTGCAGAAATGCTTCTGATGGGCTAGATAACGCCTAGCCCGCAGCCAACGCTCACAACCGCCGATTCAGACCCGCCCGGGTTCCGCAAGCCCGGGGCTGCCCCTGAGCCACCGCCCAGGCCTCAGCCTCAGGCCATGCGGGCCTCGCCGCCGCCACGCCCCGGGCCCCCAGGCCTTGCGGCCAGTCGCACCCGGGCTTGGGACTGTGGCCCAGGCCCCCACCCCGCCTGGCCCCCGACTCACCGGTGTAGTGCACCACGCAGGTCTGGCCGCGCTTCGGGAAGGTGCGCCCTGAGAAGACAGAGACGGGCACGGTGAGCAGACGCGCGCGGCGGCGGTACTCCGGGCCGCCGCGCGCCACTACTCACCGTCTCCTGGGGAGATGGTTTCCACCTGCACTCCCATGGCGGCGGCGGACGCTGAGCGGGCGGGCAGCGCGACGGGCGGCGTGGAGCGACAGCGACCTGGCGATGGTTTCACCGCTCTGCCTAGTCCCTCGGCTCGTCGCCTGCGCACGCGCACGCCCCCTCACGCCCAGTCCTGCGTGCGCGCCCCACACGGCGCGCACGTCCCGGAAACCCAGGCCTCCAGAAGAGGGACCGGAAGCCCGGAAGCCCCGAGGCCTCCGGATGCAGCTGTGTTTGCCGGGTGACTTCTTCGTTCTCCCGCCCTTCCTCTGTGCTTGCAGCGGGTTAAGCATCTCCTTGCCCAAAGAATGGGAGTAATAATAGGGGGTCCGCCAGTCACTGACTGGGTGACTGTCATCAGGTTTCCACTTCTAAGCACACAGTTACTCATCCTGGGAAGGGCATGGTTCTGAGAAGACAGCGCGCAGGTGGTACTATGTTAGCATTTTATAAGTGGCTCAAGGTTCTGAGTTCTGCTTTTCTTCACTGGAGGAGGAGTTGTCCAAATTCATTCATTCACTCACCCATAGCTTACATGCATACATTCTTATTGAGCATGTGAAAGTTGATAATACGAATTGGGTCACTCTTGTTATGCCCAACGGAATCAGAATCCAGTGGCCAGGGGAAAAGCAGTGGAGGCACACAGCACCTGCTCCAAGAATTAATATTTCCACTAACTCTGCTGCTGAAATGACCTGCTGTCTTGCTAAGACCAGATTGAGCTAGTAACTGCTGAAACAACCTGCCATAACCTAATACTAGTTTTACTTACCACTGTCAGACCAATCAGAGCTTGCCAGCTCCCTGAAACTTTACTAGTGCCAATGTGCTTTCTTTCAAAACAATACATTTCCCTTTCTTATAAAACTCCCAGCCTTCTCTTTGTTCTTTGGACATACCAAAGACCACCAGATCTGTGTGTATGCTCCAAGTTGCAATTCCTGCTTCCCCAAATAAAACATTACATTTAGAGATTCATCTCTATATTTTATTTTGACTTTGACAAGCACCTTCTATATGTCATGTACTGTCCTTGGTGCTGAGGATACAGCAGTGAAGGAGTCAGACCTAGTCCCTGACCTCACAGAATCTACGTATGAGGTGAGAGAGATAATCAAATAACCTGTTTAAGTAAAAAAAAGATATGGAATAAATGTAAAGATTCAAATCTATAATGCTATGAGATAGTAATACATGCTGTGAGAGGCATGTTAATATAACAGAGATGCCTGATTTAGTCTGTAATGTGGTCAGATATTTCCCTGAGTTAGCTAGGTTTAGCCAAGGTTAGAAGGCCAATTTGTGTATGTGTTGGGGTAAGGGGAGGCAGAAGGAGCAGTACCTGCAGAGGCACTGTAACCCAGAGAACACTGTGATAGGGTCTAGGACATAAAGAGGCACATGTGACTAATCTTTCTCTGATCTCTGTGTGTGTACTTCTGTATTAGTCCAGTCTCACACTGCTATAAAGAATACCTGAGGCTGGGCACGGTGGCTCATGCCTGTAATCCCAGCACCTTGGGAAGCTGAGGCAGGCAGATCAGTTGAGGCCAGGCATCCAAGACCAGCCTGGCCAACATGGTGAAACTCAGTTTCTACTAAAAATACAAAAAAATTGGCTAGGCATGGTGGCACATGCTTGTAATCCCAGCCACTTGGGAGACTGAGGCATAAGAATTGCTTAAACCCAGGAGGTGGAGGTTGTAGTGAGCCAATATTGCACCCCTGCACCCCAACCTAGGTGACAGAGTGAGAACCTGTGAAAAAACAAAAAACAAAAATAAAAACCTGAGACTGGGTAATTTATGGAGGAAAGAGGTTTAATTGACTCACAGTTCTGCATGTCTGGGAAGCCTCAGGAAACTTACAATCGTGGCAGAAGGGGAAGCAGGCATGTCTTACATAGTGGCAGGCAAGAGAGAGAGTACGTGAAGAGGAACTGTCAAACACCGATAAAACTATCAGTTCTCATGAGAACGCACTCACTATCATGAGAACAGCATGGGGGAAACCACCCTGTAGTGTTTTAAACATGACCTCACAGTTTTTCAACACGCTTACCCTCATCTATGTCCCCTTTCCTTAAATCTCAGTGAGCTTGTGACTGCTCTGGAAATTTTAATAGTGTAAGAATACAGGCTATAACAGAACCAAATTAACTGTGGCTGAAAAGAGACTGAAGTTGCTGTCTCTTTCATGTTCAGAGGCAGATGGTTCAGTGCAGGTAGGACTTCACAGGCTGCCCGGGGACTCATCCTTCTACTTGTGGCTCCCCATCCTTGGAATCCTACCCTCATATACATGGTCCAAATTGGCTCTCAATATATTTTCATCTCAACTAGTGGCAAGGGGGAAAGGAGGAATGTGAGGGTACATTCCCATTTCCTTTAAGGGCATGACTTAGAATTGCACACATCTCTTCCCCTCATACTTCACATTGACTATAACAGTTATATGGTCAAATTTAGCTGCATGGGAGGCTAGGAAATATAGTCTTCATTCTGGATGTAAACACACCCAACTAAAATCAGAGGTTCTGTGCTCATAGAATGGAAGACTGGATATTGAAAGATGAAATTTTAAAAAGGCCCCAGCAGTTGCCAGGACACTGCTTCACACCACCTAGAGAAAATCAGACTGCAGAGAGAATAAATGATGGAGAATGAGAGCAACCAGGGGCAAGAGAGTTCCTAGATTCAGTTTTCCCTGAAGCCTAGCAGGATTGCCTCACATTCATCCTGTGGTCTCTCTCATGGCTCTGAATTGGGTATTGGTCCAAAACATAGACCTGCTTTTGAGACAGTGGCCATCCCAATCCATGTATATAAGCTTTGTTTATATACATGGGGCTCCCCAAGAACCTCACATTTGCACCACTTCTTCCTCAGTGCTTTGAGAAAACACAGGAAAGCATGTAGCTATCAGTTCAGCCACCAGATCTGAGATGAATTGGACCTGAGGACAAGGGGCACTTATTAATCATTTATCTGATTTTTCTAAATAACTGGGAGAGTTCCTTTCTAAATTAGTTTAGATTCTGTTTATATATAACCTAGTTATTAATTAACAACTCTGTTAAGTATTTAAGTTCTTTGGGATCACCCTTTAGCAAACCAGAACTAAAAACAGAAAGTGAATGACTCTAAGAGATGGAACTGGGAGAAAGAGCAGGAGATTCTGACTTTCATTTAATATCATTCTGAACTGATTAAATTTATTTTTACTCTCTTTGTGTAACAGGAGACAGGGAATCATTTCAGTCCGAAGTCATAAGCATCCCTGAAGACAAGGGGAAGTGACTCCTTCCCTGAAGCTCTAAAACCTGAAAAATGGGTGTTGGATTTCCTTGCATTTATCCTGTTTGTGGTTTACTCAGCTTCCTGAGTATATAGGTGTCTGCCTTTCACCACATTTGGGAAGTTTTCAGCCATTATTTCTTGAGATATTTTCTTCTGCTCCATTCTGTTTCTCCTGTTCTTCTCAGATCCTGATAACACAAACATTAGATATTTTGGAATTGTCTCCACAGGTGCCTGAAGTTCTGTTCAGTTTCCCCCAGTCCTTTTTCTCTGTTGTTCAGATTGGATAATTTCTATTTTTCTATCTTCAAGATCACTGGCATGTTTCCCTGCAATCTCCATTCTGCTATTGTACTCATCTGTTGGGAGCTGAAAAGGCCAAAGGGATCTTGACCAACTCAGCATTCCACTGGAGGCTATATGATCAAATAGCCAACTGTTTATCATGAATGCAGGATGTGGGCAAACTCACAACTGCGCCTGCTACCAGGAGGTTTGCTGAGGGCAATCACCCCCTGGCACTGTGCTCATTGAGGTTATCTACTGGGACATCTAGAGCCTATTGTTTGAAGACTGCAGTCTTGCAAGCCTGCTGTAAATCAAACTGCTAACCGACAATCACCCCCCACTTCTCGCTGTCTCTTTTGCCTAATAAATGCAAAGGGCTCTAAAGCTCAGGCCCTTTGTTTACTAGAAGCAAGGAGGCCCCTGACCCCTTCTTTCAAATATACTCTCTTGTCTTTGTCTTTTATTCCCACGTTTGCCCCCTTTGTTCAGTCCCACAAGGTCCACGCAGGTGACAAATTGCGACCCAGAACAGGGACTCCCAGGATGTCAGATAAGTGGCATCCGAACACAGATACTTTGAGGATGTGAACAAAGAAGGTCTGCTGGAGCAGAGGAACTGAAATTGACAAGACACATGGGGACCCCAGGATGAGTCTGCCGGCAGTGGATATAAGGTCAGTGCCCTAAAGAGGTACTGGGAATGATATAAGGTCGGTGCTCTAAATAAGTACTGGGAATGGGATGTTTTCTGAATCAGGGTAACATGAAGCAGAATTTATCTATTGAAGAAAAACATTATGTGCAGTTGCTTCAAGTTCTGTTGAGACAGTCTGAAGCTCAGGTTAATTCGCAGGCACTAACTAACCTCCTGCAGAAGCCACAAAATGTTACTACACATAACCCATGGTTTCCACAGGCAGGCACTCTTGATGTGAACAATTGGGATAGACCAGGAGAAGGATTAAAACAGGCTCATCAAAAAGGTCTTAAAGTTGATTCTTCTGTTTTCTCCACTTGGAGTCTAATTCGTATTGTTCTTCCACCATTGTCTCCTTATTATTCTGCTGGACAGCAGGCTGAGTCTAAAAATCTGAAAGAATCTGTTGTCCCACCCACAGCTCCAATTGAAAATAAAAAACAGGAGAGGGAGGATAAAAATTGGCCTATACCGCCCCCTCCAGTTGCAGAAACGTCTGTACTGCCTCCTTTGGTAGCAGAAATAGAGAACCCAATGCAA